CAGGAAAATGTGACTGACACTGGTTGTCACAAAGATGAATGTGAGCAGGAGCGCAAGCAGGAGAGCCGCTTTGCAGCCTGTCTCTGTGGTGCGTGACCAGCAGCATGTTTGTGTGTTAGTAATGGATGGACTTTTAAACCCTCTCAGGCAATTCAGGTTTAATGTGACCATGGCCCAGTATTGTGTTCTCCCCAGCACAGTGGGTAGGGGGTATTCTGATGGAAGAGCCTAACTGTTCAGCCAGCTTCTCAGAGATGATTGCAAAAATGCCTTGGTGAATGTTGGAAGTGGTCCTGTGCACCTACATGACCTGATTTTTTTTTCATCAGAAGTTGTTGGGCTGTTCTGTGTGAAGTGCTGGGCACTGACATGTATCTATCTGCAGACATCCTTTAGGAATAGTCTTTAGTACTTTTTAACCTCCTTCTCTTCCCTGCCCTATAGGAAGGAAAAGAGATGCAGTAAGTAGGACCACCACCATCATTGTAGTAATGAGTGTCTTGTAAGTACTCACTTGCATTAAAGTGTTGCTTGACTCAAGCTCATCTTGTTTTTATCTATATTTGTTCCTCACTTTTATGTTAAGGTTGCATGTAGCATGATAAACTAATTTGAGTGGAACATGGGAATATAAAAGAGGAATGGATTGACTTGGAAATGACATGTGGGAAGAAAATGCTGACTTGTCAAACTAGTCTACCTTACAGGTTTACTTAGGTCTGATCCATTTAAAAAATAACGTCTAGAAACTACTCATTCGTAATTTTAAAAGTTCCAAGAAGAGATACTGTTGTTATTTTTTGCTATTACCCAGCTTAATGGTAACTGCTAGGAATTGTTCAGATAGATACTAATTTTCATTATAGTGCTGCCCCACACCTTTTTTCTCCCAGGATGCTGGGAGGATTCTGTTTCCTTAGCTGTCTTTAGCTATGATCTTGTGTTTGTAGCATTGCAAATGAAATTGTTGAAAAATTGATTTTTGTTCTTTTCTATCTACAGTTTGCTGCTCTTGGTCTTGCTGAATATAACACTGTTCCTCAAACTCTCAAAGATAGAGCATGCAGCTCAGTCCCTTTATCATGTCCAGCTTCAGGAGGAAAGCTCTTTGAAGTGAGTTCACAATCTTTGCTTGCTTTCTTTTTCAGCTTATGTGAGAATCTGATCTAAAAAATAAATTATAAACAATGAAATTGAGTGGTAAGTTTTCAGAAGTGGCTGGGGCTTGCTGTACTTCTGTGGTCTATGCTGAAATCCAGTGACATGTCTGACTGCATCTTGCAGTAATAAATTTCTTCTTTGACAAGCTGTTTTGGGAGAAATGTTAACCTTAGTTTGCATTTATCAGCTGCTGTGATTCATCTTCTGTGAATATCATAGTGCTGATCACAGAACTGAAGTGTTCGTCCTGTGTGAACCAGCATGTTCTCAACTGGAATGTTTAAAGATTCATTTAGCTTTTTAGCTTCTCTCTGTGAGTCCCCTAAATCTCCTCTCCTTCACAAATTTCCATGTTAGGTGCCTTTTTTACTCAGGCGCAGAAAGATGTTGCTTCCTCTTGAATACAGTATCAAGAAAAAAGTTAAAAACAATATCCTGATTTTGAGTCTGGAAGGGATGTGGGGACCTCCCATAGTGACAGAACTGGTTAGAGTGACTTTCTTCTTAAGAAGGCTCTTGCTCCCTGAAGTGTGGACTGTACATTGTAAACATAATGTGAGCACAGTTTTTTCTTGGTGGCTGTTGCCTGTAAAGGTCTGAGGTACTGGCTTCAAGCAGACAGGTATTGGAATTCAACTGCAGGCAGCTTTGTATGTGGCTTTTGTAAGAGGATGCTCTCAGCAATGGCAGAGCAATGGTAGCAGAGAACAGTTGCTTTTAAAAAGGCATTGGGGTGCATGCTTCATGTTTCTGATGTTATCTCAATCTTTTTCAGCATATCCCCAGAAATTGTATCAAAAGAGGAGATACCTCAATATGATAAGGAACAGGTTAAACATGTGAAGGGAGTTTTAAGAGACTCAATTGAAATGCTTGAGCAGGTAGGTCTGAAAATCTTTCCTGGTGATGTTTATTCTTGCACATCCTGGTGATGTTCTTGTACATCTTTTCTCCCTTGTGTTATCATAGCTTGATGTGGTCTGGTGCTAGATAAAGTTTTCTTGATCTGTTTTGCCCCAGTCTTGAGTTTAGTTAACAGGCAGTGCTTATGTTTCTGATGTTTCGGATCGCTTTGGTTTTGAATTTGTTTCTTGGAGGGTTGGGGTTTTTTTTTTTTGGATGGTTGGTTTTTGTTTGGGTTTGTGGGTGGGTTTGTTTTGTTTTGTTTTTTGTTGGTTTGAGTTTTTTATTTGACTAAGATATAAGTACCCATGTCAGTTTTCTTAAACTTGTCATGTTCTTAAGAGAAGATGTGTTAATGCAGTTCTGAATCATGACAAAGCAAAGACTGGACTATTTTAAAACAGATTCCCTTTTCTAAGAACACTCATATTAAGATTTGTGAAGTGTTTTCCCATCTTACTATGGAATTTCTTCGTTCAGGTTTATCCTGGCATTTGTTCCCCACTACTCCTCTAGATATTGGCAAGAGCTTCATTTAGCTTTGATATCAAGGGGTCACCTAATCTCCAGTGAAAAATAAATAATTTCTGCAGACCATATGTTTCTGAGAGACTCCACAGAAGAAAATCCTCCTTCACAGTAACTTAAAATTTCAGGCTCTTGTATACTACAGACAAAAAAAAGGTTGAATATTGTTGTGTATCTCTGATCATGAAGCCCATGACTGTTAAATCCTTACAATCCCTAGACTGAAAATTCAACTCAGTACCTGAAGGACAGTAAATTCATGCTTTAGTTTTTACTTACTACTCAGGAATGTTCTGATTTTAACTTCATTGATTATATCTTGAAATGCGATGGAATAAATTATTAATTTAGGAAAGCTGAAGGAGGAGTTCGCATGTACCTTTCTCCATTGTTTGCTCTTTGTTCTTCCATGAAAGTACCCATGTCAATTTTCTCCACTGAAGGAGCTTAGAAAAAGAAGCCATTTCTTATGCTCCTTGTTTAGAGGTGTCTCTGCATGTACAGCTGCTATTAATCTGTTAATTAACCACTTTGATCACAACTTGAAAAAGCCTAAGAGCTGCAAGTTTCACTTTAGAGATTAAATTTTCTGGTTTTCATGCCATTTTTATTTTCTCGGCTTACGATTCAAACAATTCCTAATTCTGAAGTGTTAAGTGTTTTTTGAACACACAGTGTAAAAAAAGAAAGGTGAGAATTTAGCCACCTTTTTCATCCAGAATGACATTTTTTGTCTGGAAGTCCTGAAGCATCTTAATGCTTGATACCTTGTGTTTTCTGAGAGTTGTCAATAACCTAAACATGTTTTGTGCACCAAAATGCACTAGGAGGGTCAGGTAGTATAAGAAAATTCATGTTGTGCTGCCATGTTCCTTGGAGTATTTGCACTGAACGTTATCTGTGACTAAAAATGAGTGGAGTGGTTTATCTGTGCTGTTGTCTGGTGAGGTGTTAAGACTTTATCATCCTGGACTGTTAGTATTTATAAACTCTACAGAGTGTAGCTGTTAGGAGAGCACAGTAAGCTGTTTATGGAAACAGGGAGGAGGAAATCACATGAAATCTTTAAAAGAAAATGAGGAGGGAGACTTTATTTTCCTGATATTTCACCCCTGCAGGAGACTGACTTAAGTAATTGGTGGGGGGGTGGATTGTATCTCCACAGCTGAAGATTTCCCTTTCCATGCTCCAAAGAAGCTTTGACCACTTGAACAGGACACAGAGCAGCAAGACTGAGAGTTAATAGCCACATCAGCTTTTCATTCAAGATGCTGGAAGAACAGATGTGTGTGTGAGGACTTGTGGGGTAGGGACTGTAACTGTCTCCTCTGGACTCTTTACTGTTGCACAGAATAAAAGGTTTGTGGAAGAAGTAAGTCGGGTTCTGCATTGCCATAGCTTGGCAGTCTTGTCTCTCCTGCCAGCCTTCTTCCCTGGGGAGCTTCAATTCCAAACAGTGCAGAGAGCTTGGATCCATCCCAGGGTGAGTGAGTGAGGGCAGTTGTACTGCTGGTGAATGGATCTAAACATTTCAGAGGGAAAAACACCCTTGGCAGAGAACTGGGCTTGTCTCTTACAAAATTGCAGCTTTTTATGTCAACGTAGGAAAATGACCATCAGTGAAGAGTGTTTTGGAGAAAAAGGAGTGTTAGTGGATTCACAGCCACAGGATCTTCATAGGCTTTTTTAGCCATGGGGACCTTGTGAAAGAAGTCACCATCTTAACGATGAATATGCCTAAGATTAATTAACAGGAAAGGGTTTGAGATCTCTTGCATACTGCAAGCTTTGGCAGGCTGCCTTCTGCCATATGTTTCCAGCTCTCCCAGAGAAATTTCAGCTCTCGGTGTTTTCCCTCTATCAAGGGCTGTGCTTCAGCGTGGTGTGCCCACTGATGATGAAACTCCTCTTCATGTGCTTCAAGCGTTTTCCAAGCAGGTTGAGGGAAAGAAGATGAATACAGAAAGAAAATCCCAGAAAATGCAAGGGCCCCCTCCCTCGAATTTGGGCTGTGCTAGGAGGGCAGCGCTCGCTCGGGCGGTGCGCAGCCCGTGGGGCAGTGGTGCAGACACAGGTGTGGGGAGGGGAGGGGGTGCAGACACAGGTGTGGGGGGGTGCGGGGGGCAGCTTTTCCCGGCCCCGTGTCCAGCCCCGGGCAGCGGGGGCGGCCCGGGCCCGCGACGCCGCCCCGCCGGCCGCCACCTGTTGCGCTGCCCCTTTAAGGCAGGTGCCCCCGCGTGACGGCGGCGCCGCCCCCCACGCGCCCATTGGCGCGCGCCGCCGTCAGGTGGACGGTCCGGGCGGGGGCGCCGCCCCCCGCACACCTCGGGGCGCGCGCGGCCAATGGCGGGCGGGCGCTGCGGCGGGGGCGGGGCCGCGGGGCGGGGGCGGTGGCGCGCGCGGGGCACCTGAGGCGGCGGCGGCGGGAGCCGCTCCCGGCCCCGCGGGAGGGACGGAGCGGGCGGCGGCGATGGAGGAGCCGCTCTGCTGCTGCGAGTACGTGGACCGGCGCGGCCGGCGCAACCACCTGGCGGCGTGCTGCTGCGACTGCGAGGAGCTGGACGACGGCTGCGACAGGTACCGGCTCCGCGACCCTCGGGGGCCGCCGACTGCGGGACACCCTCCCGGCGGCGGCGGCGGCGTCCCCGCGGGGCTGCCGCCCTGAGGGCGGGATAGCCGCGCCCCGCTTCCCGGGAAACTTGTCGGGAGAGAGGAAAGGGGAGGCGGTGGGAGCGGGACGGGGCGGGGGGCGGGAGCGCGGCCGTCCCGGTGCCAGCCGGCGCTGTGCTCCCCGCGCTCGCAGGTGGCTGACGTGCAGATCCCTGCCCCCGGGAGCGCTGGAGAGGATCGCCGACACCATCGCGGACCGGCTGCGGGTCCCCTGGTTCTCAGGGGCCGTGAAGATCAACGTCAGCCTCGTGCCGCCGCTCGTCCTGCTGCCCGTCTTCCTCCACGTCGCCGCCCTGCACTTCCTGCTGGGGCTCATCATCCTGACGTCCCTGCCCGTTGTGGTGCTGTGGTATTACTACCTCACCCACCGGAGGAAGGAACGGACTCTGTTCTTCTTGAGCCTGGGGCTCTTCTCCTTGGGATATATGTACTATGTGTTTCTCCGGGAGGTGGTTCCCCGGGGCCACGTGGAGCATTCCCAGGTGGTCACTCTCACGTGCGGGTTAATTCTTATGCTTGCAGCCCTGTCTCGAGCCAAGAAGGACCCTGGCTACCTTCCCATCCCAGCAGGCAACGAGAAGCCATCGCACCAGGGTTTGCACAACAAGACTATTAGAGGGAGCTCCGGCGGGCTCCATGGCATCTCAGGTGCTGCCAGCAGTCGTGCTGTGAATGGGGAGGCTAAAGGTTATTGCAGCATGTCAGCTGAGCAGCCAGCAGGTGTGAAGAAGGACTGGTGCACTAAATGCCAGCTGGTCAGGCCAGCCCGAGCAGGGCACTGCCGGCTTTGTGGCAGGTGCGTGAGGAGGCTGGACCATCACTGTGTCTGGTAGGTTTTGCACAGCTGAGGCTCCCCGTGTTCTCTCTCCGAGTTCCCTCCTTTTTACAGTAAGCTTCTTTTTTTACAGTCCCTGACAAATAGAGTTGCTTTTGCTATGTGCAAAACCTTATGACACTCTTTAAATACAAAAAGCTTTGTATTTACCCTTTAAAAGAGCAGTTAGAATAACTGTTTATTCTAAGTGGGTTGAGCTGATAGCTGAAAGCTTCTACAGCATACTTCAGAATTGCTTTTACTTCTCTACTGTTTTTCATCAGTTTGGGATTGTTTTTGCTGTGGGTTTTCTTGGATTTGTTTTTTTTTTTGTTTGTTTGTTTTATACTTGGTCTGTAGAGCACTAGTAATCCTGCAGTTAAGGTGCATTAGCACTCTCCTGGGGTAAGGGACCCCAAAGCTACCTTTTGGGTGTTCCTGTGGTGCTGGAACCAAGGGGGCAGTAGGGTGTCATGTATCTCAGCAAAGGATACTACCCCTGCTTAAAACTTGATGCAAACAGTCTGCTGCTGTTACCCTACAGGTCTATTGTCTTGTGTTTGTAACTTTTCTATATAAAGTTATAAAGTTTCCTTGAATATTTTTCAAAGTTCTTAGCCTGTGTCGACTGCAAGTACCTTGGAAATCAGGTTCTCTGACAGCTGGGGGAGGAAGAAGAAATAGAACACTGTTTCTTTTCTTTTTTTAAGCAAAGTAATCTTTTCTTTCCTTTTGGAGGATTAACAGCTGCGTAGGGGAGCAGAACCATCAAGCTTTCATCCTTGCACTCTCCTTCTTCATGCTCACCTCTGTGTATGGGATTACCTTGACCCTGCACACCATCTGTAGGGGCCGAAGTCTGTTTGTGGCATTGTTCTACTGCCCCGGGGCCTATTCTGACTACAGGTGAGATGTCTGTCTGGGAGAGCTGTGGTGGGAGCAGGCTTGCTCAGGCAGCTTAGCTCCTGTCCCTCATTCTGCTGGTTGTCAGACCTGCTCACAAAGCATTCCCTAAAATACTCTGGAAAGCAAAGATGTGTTTCTGCTTTTGCCAAGGTGGGCAGCCTGAGACTTAGAGCTCAGTATTTATGTGGAAAAAGTGGAAGGAGCTAGGATTTGAAGTATTTATTGTGTTATGTATAGATGTAGTTCTAGATATCTATGCCCCTGCCCGATGCACGTAATGGTCTGACAGCTTGGAATCCACATGCTCTCTCTCTCTCTCTCCCTCTCATTCCTTACTATTTATCTAGTGAATGTCCTCCAAGCTGTCTGCCTAGAACATGCTCTGTCTGACAGGGAAGGTGGTGGGAGCTATTGGACAGGAGTTCAGAGACAGCACTACCACAGATGGGCAGAGTACTGATTGTACTCAAGTGACTCTTCCTTCCTCTACTCCATCTCATGACCTGTAGAGTGAGAGCGTCCTGGGGTCCTTAAGTGAGGCCTGAGCACCATTACAACACAAAGAGTGAAGAGCTAGGTTGTGTGACAGCAATGTGTAAGAGTAGCTCTGCTAGCAGTAAAAGCTCTCATTAAGTAAACCCTGAAGCTTTAATTTTGAGAAAGCCTTTAAGGATTATCTGATGAAAGCAGCAAAGTGAGGTCACTGTGGCAGATGTAGACAGGGATTTGAAAGGATAGTGATTACCAGGGAAAGTCACTTTAAAGCAACTGCTCCTGTACTAAATGGCTTCCTTCCCATCTTTTTCCCTGCTGCCAGCTCTGCTCTGTCGTTCACCTGTGTGTGGTACTGTGCCATTGTAACAGCTGGCATGGGATACATCCTCCTTATCCAGCTGTTGAACATCAGCTACAACGTGACTGAGAGGGAAGCTCGGCTGGCTCTGCGGGACAACACTGGGCGCAGGCTGCTGGGTGGGTTAGTGATAGACACTGGCCAGTACAACAGGGGACTCCTGTGCAACTGGGGCCACTTCCTGAGCCTGGGGGCTTCTCCTCCGCAGCGCTCTGCCGAGGACATCGTGTGACACCCTCGTTCTGCAGATGGCATTGTGTCATGGCTCACTGACTTTGTTTAGCAGGGGAGCAGCCCCTCCCGCCAGGACTCCTCCTCACACAACCTTTCCTCGTGGTCTTTATGTGGGCTGTCCCCTCACTGACAACAGCAGATGTTTTCCCTGGTGGAATGGTTCTTCACATGCTGTCAGCCAGCAATAGGATGCAGAAAGCAGTAAGCCATATGTGCAGGTGGGGAGAGGAGGAGCCTGCTGCCTTTTATCACCGTGGGAAACAGCAAGAAGAGCACAAGGTTTTGAGAACTTGAGTTTCCCTTAGATGTGAGTACTGGCATCAGGAGGAAGCCCTGCTGCTGGGCTTCAGTGAGTGCACTGGTTCCTACAAAGGTTAAGGAATCCCTGGATTTGTACCTATGTGTGCCATTTTGGAGATGTCAGAAGAGTGAACTTTGGACACAGATAACAGATGGAGCCCTGCAGAAACTGGTCTCTTGGACGAGAAGAGACTGTCTAGGCAGTCACTGGGCAGTGCTCTCTGGTGCATTTATTTATTTATTTTTACTATCTCTGATTCCATCCAGCTGTGTACATGCTTCTATTAAGTGCCTTTGTGAGCTACATTCCTGTAGGACTTTGTATGATCTCTTCACCTCTTGACCCCTAAAGTTGTTATTCCATCCCTGTCTGTCTAAATGAGTGAAAAGAGATCCCATTGTTCTTTCTGCAAGCCGGGTCTGTATTGGTTTGAAGGCTTTGCTCATCTCCCTCAAAGTGTTTCTGCTCTGATTATGGGTTGTGACATGTGACAGCAGGTAAATACACCAAGTAAGGAGTTTTGAAGCAACATGTGAAGTGAACTTTGAGGGCAAAAGAAGAGTGCTGTCTGTCTGGTATTAGTGTAGCTTTACCTTCATCCTATGTCTGTGAGAGAGTAGGCAGTTCTGCTTTGGTAAGTAGCATCTCAGTTGGGTTGCTGTCAGCACAGTGATCTTGTCTCCTCTCGGCCCGGTTACGGTGGAGCTGCCTGACTATAGATCTGATTTCTCAAGCCAAGAAGCCAAGGAACAGATCAACCCTAAGGTACATAGGAAGAGATGGAGGATGTGTTGAAGGTGTTTGTTTTTGGGATAGATGACCTGTACTGGCAGGTAAATGAACCTGTTAAAATGTGCTCTGCAAGAATGCCATTTTTTCCTCATCAGCCTGCAACTGTATTATGGCCTGGACTCGAGCTTCAGCCAAAATAACAAGGTTTTGGTGGCAGGTTTCTGGATTTCAGGGTGGGATTTTTTGTGGTTTTTTGGTTGAAGCCCTTTATGTATGCCGTTGGCCCTGCAGTAACAGGAGAGGTCTGGAAGAGCTGGGGACTGTGGCACAAGAATTTCAGGTTGGGCCTAAGTTGCAAAAGCAGAGATGGAGCTTTGTTCCTAGCTGTGGTGTTTTCAGATGTGTGCAGTGTGCGTGGGTCATGCCTGCCCCTGAGTGCACGGGCATGGCAGGCAGCTGGGGGATGTTGGGCAAGTGATGCACATTCACTGTGCTGCTGTGCAGTAGCTTTGAAGAATAAATGGATGGTGCATGATGCCAAAAGAAAGCAGGGGCTGTCTGTTGGGATCCCTGCCATATTTTTTGAGTGCTTCTCCTGATATGTCCCAGTTTAAGGTAAAGACTGTGTTGCTTTTTGCTCTGTTTGGTTTCCTGAAGTGGCACATTTTATAACCAGCAGATAATTAAGGAGCAGCTGCATTTGGAATGTGGCTATACGGTTACTGAATTTCCCTTATTTCTTTCCCCTTTTCATCCAGTAAAGCAGTTCTTTATAAGGAGGTAAAGGGACAGCTCTTTTGCTTCCTACCTCCAACCAAGCACAGCAGAAAGTTCTGACCACTTTCTTGACTCTAATGTGAATAAAAAAGTATGCAGCTGGACTGTGCAAAGTGTTACTTTATGACCTTCTGTTTGGAGCTTGAAGCATGATCCTAGGAGTTCAAATTGAGTCAAAGTTGCTTCCACTTGAGTTGTCTGTAAATGTTTCCATGGCACATATGTATATTGTGATGCCTGCTGAGATGATTGGCAACCCTGGAGATAAGGATGCTGTGGTCTAGGAGGATCTTCTAAATCTTACCCTGCTGGCACTGAGGAAGATAAAGGCAGAAGGACCTCCTGGGCCAAATGAACCCCTGCAGTGGAAACAGCCAATTTGTCCATCTCTGTGTGCTGCACGCACAGGAATCAATCATGCACCTACAGGCTGAACAAGCTCTGGGAGCTTTTGCAGGTTTGAGATAAGTGATTTCTCAGAGTCCTGCTACTCCTGGCTGGGAGAAAGCAGAGCAGATCACAGGGTGCTTCCCTGGCACTGCTAACCCTGTGGTGCTCACTTACTCCCACAGGCAGAGATTGGTTTCACCTTTGCAGCCTGTCTGTCACTGTTGCCTTGTCCCTTATCTCTTAGTGAGAGGGAGGTTTCATCTGAGCTGCTTACACTGAGACTCTCTCTGTTCTCCCAGGCAGTGTGGAATTTGGACTGCAGATCAGAACAAAGGACCTGAGACTGATGTAACCATTCCATATCTTGGTCAAACATGCTCCAGTAGAGTGGGGGCAAAGTGCTAAAGTAAATTTCATTTTTTGCCCTGGCTCCAGAGGGAACTGAAACCATTCAGGGCACTAAAAGATTGCAAGGATGGAGTTTTTTTCTAGGAGGAAAATGCAGTGCTGTTTCCTCAGTGAACAGGAGGTTCAGGTGGCTGTCATCTGCATAGTAATGGTGACTCTTTCTTTAACGGCATGGCATTGGTTTACCTCTTCTTCCTGAAAGGATTTGCTTTGTGAACACATTGGGAGATGAGAAGCATAAAGTAATGGGATATTTTAAAGGCATCTAAATGGGCGGAAGAGTTTCAGTCCCTTCAGATGCATACGTGGGAAGTCTCCTTTTAACATCCCTGAGAATTAGCAGGAGACCCTTGGAGGGTAATGCTTCCTTTCCAGTTATTGCAAGGGTGAACTGTATGATCTGGCGTCTTCAGGAACAGTTTATTCCCTGTGTAATTTCCTGTTGAGCTTGGTACTGACCATGCTGGTAGAAAAATGTTAAAATCTAGGCATACAGAGTCAGTCCTTGGGCTCCCTGAGTTAGTAGCTGCCTAAATCCATGCTGCCTGGGGGTTGGAGCAGTGGGAGCAGCCTGCATGTGACAGGGGACTTGTGGGTTGTGTGTGGCCTTCAGGCAAGGACCAGTGTCTCACCTGTAAGCTGTGTGCCTGGCAGTGCAGAAAACAGTACCCTGCTGGCTCTTGATCATTTTCCCTGTGTGTGAAGAGAGGACCTAAAGCTGACCAAGAGCAGGGAAGGATTTTGGTAATAGCCAGCCCTGATGTTTTTCCACCCAGACTTTGAAAGTTAATCTTGCTTTACCCATGACCTTTTAAGAGGCATTTGTTGTTTCACAAATAGTGTGGATTTCTGCAGACCAGGCAGCTCTTAGGGGCCCAGGATTCTGGTTTTGCTGGTGTTGTAGTGGTATGCCCTCTGTGTCCAAGTGCCATCACCCCACTGTTTGGTGTCTGTAGTAGGAACAGTGCATCATTAGATACATCCTGTAAGTGTTGGCTTGGCACTCTTTAACTGTGTCTTCCTGCATTGTGCTTTTTTGTAGGCGAGTCACAGGTCCCCACGTTGACTGTTTCTCCATTTAACTTGTCCTCAAATGACAAAAGTCACTGGTGAGCCTGAGCTGGTGCTGCTTGTGACTCCTAATCACATTTCAGCCTTCATGCTATGATGGTGCTTTTTTTCCCCTTCAAAGTAGGTTGCTTTCAAGTGTCTTAATGAAACCATTTGCTGTAAAATTTCTTCTGAAGATAAAATGGATACTGCCTCACTGCCTAATGTCTTAATAATGTGCTTGGTTTTTTCCTCCTATATGAATGTATATTGCCTCATTAAGACAGGAAGTGTGTGTGATTATGGATGTGTTTTCCTGTATTCCTTTCAGTGAAAAATTCTACAGTTACCTAGGATTTATTTTTTTGCCACTACCAGGAAGATCCTGCAGCAAAAATCTGTTTGCAGACAGGTGAGCTTCTTTGTCAAATGTGGGAATTCAGCCTCCCAAGATCTTGTCTTTATGGAATTCCTCTACTGATAATGTGAAGAGTGATGGGCTCTAGAAGAAAGTGGAAAGTATTTTTTTTTAAACCTGAGTTTTAGGAAGAAATTTTGTGAAACATTTGTGAGCTTTTTTGAAGGGCCTGATGTGTGTATGTTTGTCCATTTTGCATCATGTTCAGTGTTTCCAAATGGGTATCAAATGAATCAAAATAAATTAATGGAAATGATCTATGGAGTGGCCTGTTGATTTATGCCAACACATGCAGGCAAGCTGAAATATCAAAAGCTGCCACTACCTCATGGCTATTCAGCTGAGAGCTGGACTTTGCAATAAGGGAGCAAAGGGCTAAGGAGAACTTGGGAAACAAATGTTTGTCCAGTTCTGCAAAGGTTGACCTTTGGGTTTGTTGGTGGTGAGATGAGAGACCTGCTGGCAGTTCTCAGCATCCTGGAGACATTCCCTCATGGTAGCAATTCATCCTATGAGCAATGCATTATCAGTATCTGAGCAGGTTCCAGGCTTTTTTATCCTGTGTCTTGCTTTCCCTCTGACACCTGCCCACATAGTACACCCAGAACCCCAAAAAGGAACAACCTCTTGCTTTGAACTCTTTTCTAAGCCATATTTGGAAATTATATAGCATATTCTCCTTGTAGATAGTGGGAAGAGATGTAACCTTTAATTCTGTTGGTATCTTGGGACTGGTGCTGAAAGTCAAGATAACTTTTAATGAGTAGATTCACAGGTGCGTTTGATTGTTCAGGAGCTCACCTTTGATTTGCTGTGGTACTTCTGTCTGCTGCTCAGCTGTTTGTTTGAAGATAACTTTGCACTGCTGACAGCAAGGACCTTCCAGCAGGGTTTTAGTTGGATGAGACTGGTGTTTGCAGAAGGTTGTCAGACTTGGATACCCAAGCATGACCAGCTTTAACTCCAGTGCTGTTGATGGGGACGTAAGAAACTTCTGTCTCCCCCTAGCTTTTATTTTTTTCCCTGTTGTGGCTTGCTGTGCTGGCCCTGCAGAGCAGGGCCATGCCTGGAATGGCAGCTCCTGTGCTGGGAAGGCCAAGGTCCACTGCTAGGGCAGGTGCCTGTAATGGGTAACAGGCTTGCAAATATGTGGGCTGTGTATCACACTGCAGTTGTCCATGGACCCCTCCCAGGCTAACTACTGTTCCTCCCTGCCTGGGGGAAGGAGCAGAAATTGTTTAATATTTCAGGCACCCTTTCAGATCCAGTTTGTGCAGGGCCTGGGGGACTTGGAAGTGACTGGTGTACAGATTTAATGAGAAGATGGTATTTCTGTGGTTAAGGTTTTTGGGAAGCTGTGTTAAAATGCTGTAAGGGCAGGGGTCTTGCTAGAGGATGTGGAGTTTGCAATCACTTCAAGGTTCTGTATTTGGTGTTGTACTGCTGTAAAAGTCCTCCCCCCACCCCTGTGCAAGAGAAGGAAAGCCTGGCTGTGCAGCCACCTCCCTCTCTTGCTAAGAAAAGCAAGGAGCTGACAGGCAGGAGTGTGCCTGAGCTGTGAGTGTGGGCTGATGACCAGCATTAAGGCACTGACATCTGCATCTAGCCAAGTGTTGGAGCAGGAGGAATGCTCTGGCACAACTGCAAGCTGAAGCTGTTTCCTTGGTCTGACAAGCTCTCATGTCACTCTCCTGTGGGAGCCCCAATTTGCAAAACACCAACATGGTGCCAGGGATTTTGGGGGTATCCTGTGCGTCATCTGGCACGGCCTTGCTTCTGCCAAGGAGATAGGAGTTGTTTCAGCCAAGTGTGCATCAGTAAGGAAGTCAAGGGGCTTCTCACGTCCCTTTTGATTTAGACCATGTTCAGTATGAATTTGCCCAATCCCTGAAGATCATCCCTGTCCCTCAGCTGGATCTAGCAGAGGTGCCAGCTCCATGCTTGCACTGGCAGTAGGCCAGGGCTGTCAAAGCACAGCTCCTGGATCTTCTTTTGGCTTCTTGCTGCTGCAACTGTCTAACCAAAGAGCATCTTGTCAGGAGAATCTTTCAAAGCTACTAGGAATAGAAGGAAACCCTGGAAGGTAAGAGTATTGGAAGCAAAGGACATTTTCCAAAGTGTTGACTGTACTTCAAGTTCTTTGGAGGCAACAAAGCCCCACATAAGAGGCATTATTTTCATGGATGGTGAGTGGGAACTGAGATGAGTGGGAGCTGTGGGCTTTGAGGACAAAATGTGCATTGCTGGGGAAAGAATCTGCAGTTTAGTAAACTGGATACACCCTGGAGTAGCCAGTGGTTTGGGGCACCTTTTTAGCTGTGCAAGATGTAAATTCAATGCATGCCCAGCCTGTTACTAGGGTCAATTCCAGGCTGCATGTGGGCACATGCACTCTTCTGCTAAAAACTCCTGTTCCTCCCCTTACAGCTGCAGCATGTCCCGCCTCTGGCTGGCTGGAATGCTGCCTTCTCTCCAGATGGAGATGCTTTCTCTCTCTCACCTTTTATCCTCTGGGTCACTATTGTCCTTACACAAATCCAGGTGGAAGGTGGGCCAGAGACCTTTCTTGCTGTGTTCATTGTCAAGCCCTGCTAGAGAGGAAAATTCCAGCAGAAAAATGGGAGTATAAGGGCTGGTTCAGGAGTTCCAGGAGCTCATTGGACACTACATGGCAGAGACTTCCAACAGGAAAGAATGTCCCAAGAGCAAGTAGATTGCTGTTAGCAGCAGGTGTGGTTGCTGGCTGCACTGGGGCATTACTTTGGAAGCTCAGCCCCAGTTCTGTTCCTCCCTGGCTGTTTGGCTCAGTCCCCTGCAAAAAACGCTGCCTGCTCTTCCCCGCAACACGTGTTATCCAGCCTCTCCCAGCTTGTGCTTCCTCTCACAATCTGCCTCTTAGTGCAGCCAGATGGTCTGAGCTCGCCCACGCTCCGTGCAGGCACCTTCAGCTCCCTGTGCTTGGAGAACGCGCTCGTCTGACCCACTGCTGGTCGGGTCTGCGCCGCGCCTGTGGGAGATGGGGAATGTTTGGGTGTTGCAGAGGATGGCTGTGGGAGGTACCTGCAAGTGACAGCTGTCTTCAGACCTGCACCAACAGCCTGGCTTTGTGGGCAGGATCCTTTTCCTGGCCACATCCCTGTGTCCACATGGACAAATTCCTGATGCTAAAGCTCTGGAATGTGCTGCTGTGCTTGGGCACCCACCCTGTCCTGTGCCACTTTGTCTGCAGCACCTAATGTTGGTCTAGGTCCCTGGCTCTGGCCTTTTGTCCAGTGCCATTCAG